TTACTTTTACTTGAAAAAAATTTACTTCTATTTGTACTTGCGTTTTCACAAGTATACTTGCTCATGTACTTGTACTTGTCTTTCTACAAGTATATTTCTTCTATACTTGTACTTGTACTTAAGTACCAACAAAGTATTTATCAGGGGCTATCTTAGGGGCTACTCATAGATTGTCAAGAGCTATCCTATGGGAGTACCCACAGGTCCTCAAGGGCTATCCTATAGGAGTACCCTTAGGTCCTCAAAGGCTATCCATGAGGGTACCCCAAGCACCTCAAGAGCTATCCTATGGGCTTACCCTTAGGTCCTCAAGGGCTATGCTATGGAGCGACCCTTAAGGACTATCCTATACGGGTATCTTAGATGCTGAGTAGCTATCATATGGAAGTGTGGGGGTGTGTGGGGGTGTGTGGGCGTGGATGTGTGGGTGTGAGTGTGGGTGTGGGTGGGTGTGTGGATGTGGGTGTGGGTGGATGTGTGGGTGCGGGTGCGGGTGTGTCCATGTGAAAATTTATTGGGATTAAACGCGTTTTGAGGCGCGTTTTAGATGCGTCTGAAACGCTGTAAGAAAGCGCGTTTGAACGCATCCAAAAATAAAACATCTGATGCGTTCAAACGCATCTGTGAGACGCATTTTGTAAACGCGTCTAAACGCGTTCGAATATGCGGTGAAACATCTGATGCGTCCGAACGCGTCCTAGAGTCAAACGCATCCAGACGCCTCTATTACATGAGATGCGTTTGAACGCGTTCGAAGAAATTTATTTAAAAAAACATCTTGTTCTCGCAGATTTGCGCTGCGGCAGCATCACAGCCGTGTGACGGTCAGCTCTTCCCTAGAGGCATAATTCAGAACAAGTGATTTGATTTACGATAATTATGACGAGAAGTGTAGTAATGAAGGCTCGAACAGATGAACTTATAATTCAGTGACAAGTTACTTACGTCTAAGCTATATCTGAGTGTGGGTGTGGGTGGGTGTGGGTGTGGGTGTGGGTGGGTGTGGGTGTGGGTGTGGGTGTGGACGTGAGTGTGGGTGTGTGAGTGTGGGTGTGGGCATGGTAGGAAACAAGACCCACACTCACATCCACACCCACACACCCACCTATACCTACCCACACCCACACCCCACACCCACAGCCACCCACCCCACACCCACACCCACACCCCACCCACACCCACACTCACCCACACCCTTAATATTGAAGAGCCATTAACTTTTAATAATTATTTTCAATATCATCAAATGGTTATAAATTCTCTAATAAGAGAAAAAGTACCAATTGACTATGAAAAGACAATATTCATACATTTTACATATTGTTCAAGTATGAAAACATTTCCTGCTAAATGCCATATTCTTTGGAATAAATATTTTGGAGAATCCCCAATCAACGAGGTTATACCTATTCTTGGTGCACGTAATGTTAATAACCTCCAAAGGAGATTAGTTCATACCAGAACATAAATTAGTATTAATCAATATTACTTTGATAAGATTAATAGAAAACTTTATTATTATGTCGATATAAATATTATAATCTAAATTATGAAGCTTTCCAATATAAAATTAATTAAAGAAAACATCGACATCAATCCCGATTGTAAAGCTTTTCAATATAGTAACAAACTTCTACGACACAAATGTCATGATCCCGATTGCAAAGCTTTTCAATATAGCAACAAATTTCTATATTTACTTAATAAATTACTTAAAGAATAATAGTAGATTGACTTGTGAACAAGTCTAATTATTTTCAATTATACAATTAATCAATATTATATCAATCTTATAAAAAATCAAATCAAATCTTCTCAAAAAAAATTATTAATATTATTACTATTATTATATAAAATTTATTATTGGTAATATTTTTCAATCAATAAAAAATTAATTACAATACAAAATTACAATATCTTCGTATCAATTAATTATACAAGCTAAAAGACTCATATAAATTTAGACTCGTCATTTTTTTAAAAAGATCTTTCATTTCTCTTTAAATTTTGCCCTCTAAACTTTTCTTATTTTATTTTTATTTTAATTCATCAATCGTGTTTATTTTCATTTATAATTTCATTTTTCCTTTTGTAATGCAGAGCCCTGAAGAGTGTTTCAATATTTTAATAAATAACACGAAACGCGTCGGCGAAATTAACTCTGCATTATTTCATTACTTTAATTTAAACTCATTTATTTAGTATAATTCAATTGTTTGACTTGATCGGTTGCTGAAAAGCAAGAGTTGAGAATAGCAGATTGATTTGTATTTTGAGAAATATAAGTCGATCTGTTTTTCATTGATTTAAATAAAATGGTTGTGTTCTCATTCATAATAAAAGTAAAGGCAAGACAAAGAATTAGAACTATTGTGTTGAAAACTATCCAAAGTTTTTGTTAAAGAATTATGGAAACAAACATAAACATGAGTTGCAAAAAAAACGAAAAATCGCTTGAGGATCATTCTTCCCTTTATACTAATTGACTCTTATTAATAATTAAGTATAGAAATTTATGAATATGAAGGCATTTCTGTTATATATGCCACCTCTAAGACTATGTAATTTTCGATGAATTGATTATATCGAATGTACTAATTAAATAAATGAAACACGATTTGCTTATGCAGTTTCCAAAGGTTGCTAAAAATATATCAGAAAACGGATTCAAAAGAACTTTCCAGGAAACATTAGAAAGAACTAGCCTTTCTACAATGAGTCATAACTATTATCTTCAACCTTTAATATGATTGAAAAAATATATTCTCTTGTTTTTATATATTTATTTAATGGTTACAGAATTTTTGATTCCTAATGATTTCATGAATTTCTTTTTTTTCTTTTAGTATTAATATAGTCAGATGATTTTTACATTAGTATCATTTTATAATAGAAATTTAAGAGGAATAATAATTTTCTTTTTATAAATTACTTGAAAAAACTCATTTCATAATGAATTGTTCAAATAGAATGCGATCAAATGGTATAATATAACATTTTAAAAAATATTAATTAAAAACTTTTTTCTATATACGGAATTGAAGTGAATACTCATTCTCAAAAACATTTTTATTGTTGAGAATAACATTTTTATCAAATGTGATGGAATGATTCAAATAGGCAAACAGTGACTGAGATATTGTTCAATTTTCTATTATAATATATTTTAATAATTAATACTTGTGTTTTATTAAATAGTTAAGCGATATAAAGATAAAATAATTCGTATTCTTGTTTTTCTATTTCTTAAGATCAAAGAAAAAACTGTCCATTTTCAATTTTAATACGGCAAAATGCCTCGATTTATGTTGACACGATGATCTAGAAATAAACAAATAAAGAAAATAACTCAGAGAACACAAAATGCACTTACGTTCTAATTTTTTTTAAAATTCAGTTTCAATAGTATAAATTCTAATTGAAAGGTTAACAACATTGGTAAATAAAATTGACCATTCTACTTCATTATTAACAGTCGAGCAATAGAACAGTTGACTACGAGCTTTATTCAGTTGTTAACATACGTTGTTGTCTTTATTTTTTACTTTTATCAGCTATAAACATTAAAAAAAAGATGTTTATATAATTAACATTGAGCGGTTATATTCAAAAAAAATTTCGATGATTTCATTCGTAAGAGACCCTTAAAGTCATGCCACTAACTTTTTTCCCGAAATGAATATGAACTAACTTTTTTATGAATGAATCGATGGCCCTTAATAATGCTTTTCTTTATTTTTAATCTGATGATTTACATTTTCTATATATAGTACCAATTCTTTTTTCTTCATATTCAGCCATTTATTTCTATTAATCTCAATACCCAGTAAATAATATATCCGTCATCGCCAGCGAAAAAAGAATTCATACTTACAATATTCCGTCGGACATGTCCATCTTTTATTGAGAAATTATCAATGGAAGAATACAGATGACGAGAAATAATGACATGAAGAATCAAAAATGGTGAGCCCGTGGGGCAAAACTATCGACTCATGACATAAGCATGCTTGAAATCCGAAGAGTTGTGTGTAGGTGTAGATGTCGATAATCAAAGTATCCATACCCACACGCACATACTAAATACTGTCGAGTCGAATATTCAAACCCAGTTTTCATCTTCGTTTCTAATTACTTTCCTGTTTTATAGGCTAGTCTAGGCAGGATAGATGGACAAAACGAATTAGACATAGCCTAAGGTCATTTCTCGTAAACTTGACTTGTCATAACGGGTATGTAATATGTTCTAGACTAGGCATGATGAATATTCGTGACGTTTCAAACTATTCATGTCGTTCGTCTTCACTTATTTTTTGTTAACTTGGAAAATTCTTGTTGTTCGTAATAGAATGTGATCAGTATTTTTTAGATGTATACATTGCATTTTGTAACGAATAGTTTCTTTGGATGGACAGATTCTGACATGTATGCATTCCTCGTATGAAAATTATTATGAAATGCAAGTCTTAAAAATATACTTCGTTGCCATAAGCACATTTAAAAATCAACTGCGATAGTGATGCAATGAGTTGCTTCGCTGTAAAAATGTTTATTCTCTCAACCATCGTTACAAACGTTGTAGTGTGTAAGTTTAACAAACAGGAATGAAAAAGTAATAGAGTAAACGAGACAAAAAAAAAGAAAGAAAGGAAGAAAAAGTTTCATTCCTGTCTTCTTTCATCATGCAGAAGTTATTCTTTTCTTTCACATATTTGAAGATACAAAAAAAACAAAGTTCTTTTTTCTATTGATCATTCGAAAAGGTGAGCTATACTTGATTATAGGAATTCTTCTCGAAAAACGTTTCTTCGATGAAAAAAGTTAACTTTTTGTGTAATGTCCGATATTAATATTAAAATGTTGCGTTTTTAATAGCATTATTGTATATTTTCCTCGTAATATATCATTGGTTTGTTAAAATTTATTTTCAGAAAATTCTTGAACTAACAAAACAATTTAAGTTTGTGACTTGAGTTTTAAAGATTTCTATAAATCGTTAAATGGCAAGCGTATCGAGTAATTCTTCTACTTATGTTCAGTGGATGTGGAATGCGAATGAAAATCCATTTTCGACGTCATATTCATCAGAATGGCAATCATATTCAGACATAGAAAACATGATCATTGAACAAGCATTTGTAGTTGGCCAAACTCATGCTATTTTAGACGATTACCATATTGATTTTAAACATAATCTTCAAATCTCCAACAATGATATCAACAAGCAACGACATGTTAAACGAACGACTCGTAATGAAGATGATAAGCCTTTAAGAAAAGAAAGATTTATGTCCAATCCTATCGCTCCCAAACGCCCTTATGGTGGTCTATATGGCTTTATTTCTCCTTTTATACAGGCAGTTGTAAAAGATCTAAATCTTAGCAGAGATCGATTGCCCTCGAAAAATAAAACCATCGTTTCATTAATCGTAGAAAGAGCTGCTATGGGAATTGTTGAAGAAGGAAAAAAACTTGGAAAACAACGTGAGGCCGAACTGATCGCAAAAACACTGATAGAAAAAAAGAAAGCAGGAATGGAAGAAGTATGGCGATGTTGTGCGTATCTTTACTCGTTGGAAAGTTTTCTATACAAAAAATTGAATGAAACCATGCGATTAATAGGAAGTGAAGAACATGAGCAGATTTGGCGAAGTAAACTTCGCACATTGGGACCGTTTTGTTTGCTTTTATGGGATAATCCATTCAATAGAAAAATGACCAAACCGGGAACAATCATTTATCGTGGAGCACAACTATCTGACGCATTGATTAATTCGTTTAAAGACGACTGCTCAAAAGATCCGAAGCCAAAACATTCATTTCAAGGTTTTACTTCTTGCACTCGCAATCAAAATGTAGCCGAGCTATTCGGCAATGTTCTTTTTATTATGCAAACTCGAGTTGCTTTCACTGTTGATCTCCAACCATTATCTAGATATTCTTATGAAGAAGAAGAACTACTTTTTCCAGGAGTCTGTTTCGAGATCGATCGGATCGATTTTGACACAGACAAGAATAAACACTTGATCTATTTAAGTCTTCAACAACGACACAATAGTAAGTCAACATGATATCTTTTATTGAATTTTGTTATAATTGCCACTTCCGTATTTGTTCCATGTTTCGTCTGAATCTTACTTCTTCTACTAGGCCTTCATAAACATGGCTCATTATCTAAGTTCAAGTATACTCTATAGTAAATGCTTGAAACAGACCTAACAATTCGAAGATATATTCTATTTGATTCAGATGAGCTTCCAAATGGGACCGATGTTCATTGATTGCTGGGCTCCGATTCGACCTATATTTTCTATAATTCGTATATTTTCAAAAAAATGTCCTATTTTAGTCCTAGAATTCCTATATTTTATCGTAAAAAGTAGAAAATTTTGTCAAACCCGTAAATTTTGCTATTGTCTTTTGATGAAAAAAACTTTGTGCATGTATAATCATTTGTTTTGAGAAAGTTCTCATATTATAGTGACATATGTTTTAAAAAGAGTATTTTTCTTTTCTCCTGTTTAGTGAGCTGATTCAGATATTAATATTGAATACAAAATAGTTGAAAAGGAAAACATTCTCAAGATTATAATATACTGGTCCCGAATTTTACGTGAAATTTTAGGTAAATATGAAAGCTCTATATATAATATATATGTAAAATTATATGCCAGCGATAAATACTAATATATAAATAAATGTATGTAATGTATTAATTTCTGTTCTAAAAGGATTTTTTTCATCTATGTTTGAAAAACACTTATTCGAGGCATTTAAAAAAAAAAAATTAATAAACGACCACCTATCATTTTAGAAAAACAATGCCGAAAAAATTCAGTTGTGAGAAATTGTATTTACTTTGTGGAACTCATTTCGAAGAAGATAGTCAATGAAAGTTTTAATTTTCAGTTTTTATGGCTTCCCATTCCGACCTCGTTCTTCATAGACATACTCATTATAGACCATTGTCTAATTGAGAAACTTTTTAATTAAGTGTCTGCTTAATTAAGATCCCTCTAATTATTATCCTATAACATCTATTTTTATTAGACTTTCTATCCATTAGACACAACTCTCACTGCAGTTTTCAACTCCCTCATTACTGACTTTTGTGAAAATAGTGAATAGACATCATGCTTTCTCGTGTCTTTCCAAAATCGACTAGGCAATAATTTTGAAAAAAATGAAATCTTAGTGAATTTTTTGAGATATATAATATAGCCAACATAGAAGTGATTTATTTACTCTTTATCAGTGAAATTGCATGATCATAATTAATAAAATATTAGACTGAGAACAATCTATTTGAAAAATGCAAGATAACGAGCCGATCAAAACAATTTAGAGAATGGAGAGTTTGTGTGAAAGCCATAAACAGAGGGCTATTGGCACAGTTTCATTAGAATAATCTTCGAGCAGAGAAGTTAAAAAACAGCAAAGCAATTTAACAGAAACAATGTTTAAAAAGTTCTTTATTTTTGTCATTTTTTTATCGAAAATTCTATATTTTAGATAAACGTTATCCTCTAAGGATTTGTATAATTTTACGAGATCCTAATCGGAGGCCAGATTGATTGTGTTGACAGTTCCATATCGATTTTCTTGATTTATATGTGGGTTTTGGATAATATTCGAGATCTTAATTATATCCATAAAATGTTCGTTACTCGCAATAATTAAAGTTTTTCGAAATGGAAGATTTTTCATGGTCAAATTTTTGACTCACTTCTCTCTCTCTGTTACTTGTTAGCTGATTTATGAAAATTCTTAATTTTTATTAGTGTATAGATCATGTTTTCACGACAAATATATCAGAAAAATAAGTGTTCCGAAATTTTTGTTTTCTTAGAAGATTTCTTTTTCGTAATTAAAACAATAGACATATCCCGCTTGCAGAGCTAGATATTCTAAGTGCCTTTTTTTGAAATGTCGAATGCCTCAATTCTAAGTAGCTTTTGTTCAGTTAGATCATTTGTATAAAATTTTCATATTTAGCAAAGCGAGATGAAATGACACGTTTTTGCTCACATTGACATTCTATGCTCAAAGATAGATATAAAAATGATATCAGTGAAGTACAGAATTTGAAAATTCTGCTTGAATGAATACTGCACACTAATATAGAATTTAATCTGAATTAGCACCACTATCTCTATTGCCTATGTTAGGAAAATTAGAAAAAATATTTCTTGAACACTAATATTTAATTATAAATCAGCTGAAAATTTGGTCTAATTTAACATATTAAATTTCAATTTTAAGTCGAAGCATTTGTTCGTTACGAGTAAATTGGTGAAGATGTTTCGACAAGACATAAATCATACAGAAAATTCTAAAAATCTACGAAAAATGAGAGCATCAAATAAGTATCCAATGATGTGATATAATAAATGAAACAAGTCTGAGTATTGTGTGTTATCAAGAACATTAAAGCAGATTGATACTAGAAGTTTCGATTGTGTCTAACAATAAATATATTTTATTTTTCACGAATAACATTAATCAAATGTATACAATAACTTTTCCTCAGTTATCACCTTAGAGACTGAATTAGAGATAAAAGCATCATAGTATAACAATAAAACAAAATCATGGGTTTTAGTAGTATAAACAGCCTACATAGTAAAAAGTCATTTGTCCACTTCTGATATATATCTCATTATTTTGTAATGATTTTGATAAGACATCAACTTGTTCTTGGGCATTAATGACCAAAAAAGGAAAAGAAGACAATTCAATTATAAGTCTGATACGTGAGTGTTCGAATGTGTTCAGGCTATTTTGTCTAACCTCTCCCCTTCTTTTTAAAAGAGCCTAGGTCTTTTAATATGTTCGAGCATGTAAACTGTCTAGGGGGTCTTCTATTAAGAATTGATCTTCACATGAAAATTTTATCTAAAATTTTTCGATATTTTTTGTATTTTATATTGTTGTTTTCACAAAAAATTAGTTTCTAAATTCATACTTACGAGATTATAGATCGACAAATCAGGATATTCTTATGTGATGTATCTCATATGGGTGACTTGTTCTATGAAACACGATATTAAAGAGGTTTTCAATTATATAGGGAAGATATTTGGATCCACGATTTCTGCCTTCCTTCTACACACTATGACAGGCATTCTGAAATGTTATTAGAGATCGTAGTAGGCACTGAATCCATTTTTCTCTATAATACAGACTGTGGCAGGCTGTGCAGATACGGGATCAAAGATCGAATAGCATTTGAATTCTATTAAAATACATAAAGTATAATCTTTTTGCCATTCTAGAGAATTAAGTAAACAATGATGAATTGATCTACGCTCAAATAAAACGAATAAGACAATTAATATGCGATTAGTAAAAAAAAAGTTACATGATGTTTCGAGTTTTTCTTCTCTAAATATTGTGCTTGCAGTTGTTTTTTTCTAGTATCGTCAAAACACCGTTTATTCGATTAGATTTCTATGCCCCTCCCTAAGTTGTTCCTGTCGATTTAGCGTTAATACTTACGAGAGGACCCAAATATATATTAAAGGTTTCGAAAATATAGAGGTATACGCATCTGCATTGAAAAAAAAATATGAATTAACCTCGGATGTAGAAAAAGTCAACAGAAATCTGTGTAAAAAGTAGATTGTAGGACTGGCATATAGTGTATTTCTCAGTGACTCGGGTTCCTATTCATACTCATTTAAATTAGTCATTCAGTTCTAATAAAACTAAAGTGATATTAATAAGTTGTTACGCTGAATTTCGATAGTAATTTTAACCAGAATCTTATGATTTCCTATGATTATACTCAATCATTTTGATGAGTGTGCTCGAACACTAAGTAGAGCAAAATTCGATCGTAGCACTGTAACAATCCAAGTGCAAGGAAAGAATCGATAAATAGTTTATAAAACTTCAATGAACACTATGAGTTTAGTAAGTGAATCTATTTTTTAATTCTATTTTACTGAAATTGGTATAATCTCATTCTAGAATAATAAAAAAAATGTAGTGACATAAAAAAAACGTCAATGTTCAAGAACGTGCATTCAATTTCAAGCTTCTCCATGTTTTTTTCAAATCGATAGAGATCATCTCCTAATCATCAAACGAACCTAAAAACTTTTTTGTCGGCATAGTCATATATAAAAACAGAAAAAAATTTCAGACAAAAGATCCTGAAATTTTGTTTTAGTCGATTAAAAGACTCGGGTCTTGTAATGCGTTTTTCAAACTTTTTGCCAAAAAGATTCTTCTAATATACGGGGGAGGGAGGGGGGAAGTCTACTATAAAGCAAAATTTATTGAAGACACCTAAGAATATATAATTTCTGTACTATTGATACTCGACATTTCTTTTTTTTCTCAATATCATTTAGAACCTGATCTTCACCAATTATCAAACAATTCAAAGCCACTCACTGAAACAAGGGATAGCATTCCTGCTGATAATGGAGCTGACATTTTTTTCCGTTTTGTTAAACCTAGTTTATGGAGTGACACGAAATTGGCTGCTGATTTTATTGCTAAGACGAGCGCTAATCTTAATCCTTCTCATTTTCCTCCTAATTTTGCTGGCAATTTCGATGCTGATCGTGACGGATTTGATGAGGATTGGGATAACTAATAAAATACACTGTCAATATAACAAAAACATTGATTAGCGACACGAACCAATTTAAGAAGAACAATCAATCTCTTGTTTTCGATTCGTGCTTTTCATCAATCGTTTACATCGAAAAACAACAAGATTAAAATGACACACAATGGAACTGTGATTACAATTAAATAAAAAAACAAAAAAAAACACAAAATTAACTATAGAGTCGGTGAATCGGTAGAATAGTAATGTTTTGTGCGGGTGCAACCAGTGGCGGCGCCAGGGGGAGGCGGCGGGGGGCTGAGCTCCCCAAAAACTATTTGAGCCCCCGGAATCTTTTTAAAGTCGTTGCTAGTGGTGTTGTCACAGGGGCCTGAGCCCCCCTCGATTTTTGGCCAGGGGAGGCTGAGCCCCCCTGACCAAAAATCCTGGCGCCGCCGCTAGGTGCAACCATTTGCATTCGAGCTCAACTCAAAATTCATCGCAACTTTCAAGTTAGCACTTTGTATGAAAAAGTATATTGTGAAGCTTCTTTTATCAATAGTGACGATAAAAGAGATCATTTCTGATTGTACTAGGTTTCAAGAAAATTAAGCAATTGAGAATTTGCTTCCATATATGCTTGCTTGATATTATTGAAGATCGAATGAATTGTTGAAAAATGAGGGTGTGGGTGGGTGTGGGGGTCGCTATTCATCTTTTCTTCATCGACACACCCACATCCACACCCAAGGAACATAGTCAGAAAAATTTTTCAAAACTATTCGTATTAAATTAAAATACTACAATACATCTGACGGTATGTATAAAAAAAAACATGATTATAGCTCATGAAACGATGTTTTTCCAAGGAAAAGGACTGTTGCACACAAGCAGCGTTTTCAAAAATTGTCTTATTATGCATTAATAGAGTATCATCCGTAGAATTCGTTTGTCTCCTTCTCACTTGCTTTGTTTTTAACGAAAAATTTTTTTTGTAACACGACAAATGTATTGTTTTGCTTGGCGACAAGTCATATTATTGCTCTGAAACCAGCAACATTTCTTTTCATTCATCTTTATTTGCTTAATTTGTTTGAAAAACAGACTGTGAATTAATCTCTATTTTAAACTCAAAACTCACCCTATTTGATTGAATCGATGTAAAGAAACTTTGCTTTTTTTTTAATCTCAATGTTGTTTATGGCATACGCTGCACGTTGATTATTCATTTAGCCATCTTAAAAGCTTCGTATATGATTACGTTATAATTATTTTCTCTGAGTTGACAGGCTAGGGGCAAGAGAAGAACGATAAAGTGTTGCTTTGAAAATGTTTGTTAAACAGAAAATCATCTTTTTTGTCGATTACGGCCACGAATAGCAGCATTAGCAAAGAAAATGTTGATTGAAGTTCACTATGGTGACAGTAAAGTTTTGCTAGTCAATGGAAATTGTCGAGTGAATAGATATTTTTTTCTAATTGTTTTTGTTCAAATTAAAATTATTTTACATTTTCGATAATGAGCCAATACATTTATTAAATTACATTCGGACCCATTGTTCTATATCAGAATTAAAAAGAATAGATTTATGTGTAATAAATTCCGGTGAACTACTTCAATTTTTGCCATCTAATACAAAATCGGTTATTGCTGAACGGCATCATCTACCATTCCATATTCATTGTGTATTGATGGAAATCGATGGTAAAACAATTTAGCGACATAGAATCTTCATAGTACAAACCAACCAGAATTTTTTTAATTTTAGCTGATGGTTATTTAATAAACTACGACCACGTCCTTCTCGTTCATTCACATCATTTGTTTGACGGTATAGTTGTAAAATATTGAAGACCGTTGCGTTTGAACAATTAATGGCAGAAGCTATTTCACTTGGGGTCAATCCTTGATCAAAACGTAATAAAATTATTCGCCATCGATCTCTAATAGATAGATGACTACTCATATCTAATGAATTGTATTAAATGTGAAGCAAAAATTAAATGAAAATGAGCTTGATCTACGTGTATATTCGCACTAGTTATTCAGATTATGAAGAACAAAATGAAGACGTGTGTGTATTTATATGTGAGTGGGGTCATGTTATCCATTGAACAATAGTACAAAGAGTCATAATCACGCTAGACGT